CATATCTGTACGAAAGACTCAGTCGTTGAGGATTTGCGGGCTTTTGAGATGAAAAATTTTAATGGGTAGGTATTTCTAGATCACCATGTGCAATTATCTGAGTTGCACTCCTTCATATCTGATCCACCTGATTTTTTCATCGAGACAACTGACGTTTGAGGTTTCGATAGGTCCTTATTTATTTTTCAATAACAAAATCCCAACGACGTCGCAGAATGTCTGATAGAGGGACTCCGTGGGAATACTTACCTCACTAAAACTTTTGCTAAACAGTTTTCACGAAATCCGCACATGTCAGATAATTATGAAATAATAGTCACCTATTAACGAATATTCATTTCGTCATATTCATCTCTACCATTCGTCAATAGTTAATGAATCTCGTTTGAAATAAATGAATCATTCCATCACCGCAGTGTCATTAAAGAACTAATCCAACTGACTTTGAATTCACGTGTATGGAAATCCAGACCTCAGCCAGCTATGAAATAACAGTCCCCATCGTAATTACAAATGCCCTGACCAATATCTCTGAAAAATTCCTCCGCTTAAACCAGACATACACCGTAGCACAACACAACAAATAAACCATGTACCCCTGGTAAAGGGATATCACTTATCTTCATATATCCACTCAGGAGCTCGAATCGTGCGCGCATGTTTGTCGTGAACATTCAGAATCATTACACGTATATATACAAACAGCCTAGCCTTTATCGATAAGACTAATTTTTGTTGTATACGTGACCCCCTACCCTCTCTTGCCAACCTACGCCCGGTGCTCGGACTCGGAAACACATACGAAACATCCAGTAACGTACAAAAAATAAATACACTCATAAAAAAACAATATAAAACGTAGAACAGCAACAAAGTTTAAGTCCACGTTATCCGTAGCTAATAATGTATGGGTTCTTCTACGTTGGACTAAAGCAGGGACTCCTGAGTGAGCCGAGGACAGAAGCAAGGGGGATATCGTGCAGCAGCGATCTTCTCGAGTGTCAGGTCCTCCAGTCGGATACACCACGGGCTCCTTGTTCATCGGGCTGTATACCTTTTCTACCCGTGAAAGCGAGCGCCATGCGCGCCTTGTTAGCGGCCCCTGCCAATAGGGAAACGAGAGGAGAGGCTCCCTCTGGTCGTGCGAGTATTTTGCATCGGGCGTCCCGTGGTACCCCGGGACACCCCACATACACTCCCATTCGCAAACCACTTTCTGATGCTTGGGAGCAGTCGGAATTCTTACACAAAAAAAAAATTACTTTTGATCAGTAGAAAAAGTACTTGTACCCAGTACCAAGGGGTTTCGGGGGAAAAGGCACATTTTTGTACTTCCTCGAAGTCCTGGTACTGGTGAGAAGTGCTTCAGTACTTGTCACAAGTATTACTTGTACTGAGTACCTGGCTGGTTCTTTTCAAAAGTACCAAATAAACTCAATATAAGTTGAGTATACGAACTCGAAAATGTTTTTTCGTGTCACGGGACCTGAAAAACCCCATTTTTGTTCCGCTGCGCGCCACAAAATTGGCGTTTTGCAGGTCCCTCGACACGAAAATTAATATAGGGGAGGGTGGGGCAAAATGGCCCCCCTTCAATTGTCAATAACTTGTGAATGACATTGTGAAAATTCCCAGTTTCAACATTTTTCATTCTTCAAAACGAGCTCTAACTCATCCCAATCGGATTATTGAATCGGAAAATATTGACGATTGAAAGGGGGCCGTTTTGCCCCATCCTCCCCTACACACCTCGCCATGGAAAACATATCACCCTCCCCCACGTGCAAGATTGCCTTCCAAGCCGAAGGCTCGGGCATGTAATGTACTATTCTATCTCTTCTAAAAATCTAATTTCGTTAAAAATTCAAAAATCCAAATAGTTCCCGTTTCGTGAGTATTAAAATTGAAAAGAAATCGAAAATAATTTTTCGAAGCCTTTTAAATGTCGATAACAACATAAAACAAAAATCTGAACAAAATTGAAATTTTGTAGGCTCGAAAGCATCCCAATAATTCTCGAAAACATCCATAAAAATCGCAATCTATTGATTTTTTCCTACAAAATATCTTCTGCTGAACATTTCTATTTACAAAAATGCGTCAGAAAGCCCGTTCTATCCGGTAATAATATTCACTTTTTTTTACTAAAGTAATCAATTGGAAGTACTGAAATTAAGTCCTGAAAGAACTTGAGAGAAGTTGAAATAGTACATTTCGACACTAGGCCGTGAGGAACTTTGCTGGCGAATATGAGGTTACAGGACGAGCCGAAGGCGAGTCGTGTAATCATATGAGGCAGGAAAGTTCCTCACGGCCGTGTATTGAACAATATTTTTTGTCACGACGCCCGTTTCAGGGACGCGGAGCGTCCGTGAAACAGTCCCTAACGGACTAGTGACGAAAAATTACTTTTCACAAGTACCTTTGGTACTTGTGAAAGGTATTAAAAGTACTGACAGTAAGTAGTGATATTACTTTCTCCCAGTACCATTTCTACTCGATCGGCAGATGTGGTACTTCACCCAAGGACACAAAATGAATTTTTCAAAAGTGAACTTCCTCTAAGTACCGGTTTGTACTGGTGAGAAGTAATTTTTTTTTTGTGTATTGACCTTGGACGGTGCGCTAAATCATGGCGAAATGCTTGGAGATATCAGGTTATGGTTAACTTTGATGATTATGATGATAATAATGACGATGAATTTGTAATGATATTTCATTTGCATCATCCTGTCCGTCAAATTTCCGTCAAATCGACGAAGTGAGGGTCTAGATGTCACCAGGGGTCAGCGGCAGAGGTGCCCAGTAATCGTCACCGGAGTTTGACCATTACAGATCTAATCGAAAAACTCTTTTATGAAATTTATAATTATTTACTCAATAGTTATTAGAAAATTAAAATCTTGAATTATTTTATTATTTTCAAATTTCAATTAAGATCAAAAAACAATAGTAATAGAAAGGTGCAAATTCTAATAATATTACTAAATATGGGGATCACTTTTTCTGACCCCCGCAGTTTTTTTGATCAAAAATCTTAAAAATTAATGTATAAATTGAATCGTCATTAATATCGATGGAACAGGTTCACCAATACCTCCCAAAAATGATCAAATCCCATCGATTCATTAAAGGACAGGATCTAGGAGCAAAAACCGAATGCTCTTTCAAATAATGTCCTCCATCGATCCATTATCCAAGGTTAATTTACTCCCATCCGGTTTCTCCGAATCGAAACATTGAAACTGACGTTTCTCCGTAAAAAAACCCGAAAGAAGAGAGACAAGTTCACCGATATCTTTCACACAGTATAGCGGTTGGTTCTAAATCACTCGCCGTCAACCCAGTGATTTGGTGGAGTAGGGGGAGTGCGCTAGGCCAGTCACTCGAGAGTGTCGAATGCCGTGCCTCCGCGTCGCGCTTTCTGGAAGCTTTCTGTTCTCCGGTGAAAAAAAGGACAACCGCAGAACCAAAGATGAAAATAAAAATCCAATGACGAGGGAGAAGGACAGAAGTAAGAGCTCCGAGGAGACGATATCAGGAGCGGGCGGGGCTGTGTCCGCTGGTGGTCCGCCCTGGTTTCACGAGTTCTACTGTTTCCCCTCCGCAACGTTGTTGCATCCCAAACCATCCCAATCCCTCGGTTTGTCTTGCACATCGTCCGTTGTCCTTCCCTCATTTCCCATCTTCTTCGTATTCTTCTCCCTGCTGTTCCCCCCCTGCATTCACACAGCGAGAGGAAAGCATCGCCCAAGGTATACCCCAACGCACACATTCATCCACTTGGGTTTACCTCTCTTGGTCACCAGACAATGGACAATGGGGACATAAATCTGCGTAATTAGTTGCCGATGCCCCGACGGATCAATGTGCGATCTCCTTTTCCTATCCCCCTTCTTTCGTACGTGAACCCCGCGAACAAACGATCATTTGGTTGGCCAGTTGGCAAGGTAGGAGGACGTCTGGATACGCTGTGGCCGTCCCCACCCGGGGCTATACACCGACCTTACATACATTCACTGCAACTTGCATTTGCTACCATCCTCCCTCTCTCGTAGGGTCCCTCCAGTGTCCTCACCACTGCTAGGAGGTTACCCGTCCTATAACGACACTCCCTTCTTCATTCTCCACGTTAAGGACATATTCCCAATTCAAGATGGCGGTTTTTTTTCCACGTTACGTGCGTACCTCGAGCGAAAGGGGGTTTTGATCACAGCCATGGTGTGTCCGGGTTGAGCTCGTGTTGCCATGTTCCTTTGTCTCCCTTCTCATTCCTCCATGCAACCACCTCGAACTACTGCTCATTCTTTATATCATTCTATCGATAAACATTGATGTGTCTCATTTGCATTCATCACCTGTTGATGAGTAATCAGATGATGGTCTTGGCTTTCGGGAAATGAAGTAACGGTTGGGGTGAAAAAAGCGTTGCCACGTCGGATGGTCTTCATGGAGATGTTTGACAACAAGTAGACCAGAGAGAATTGTGAATGGTGAAAGGTTTGAAATGGGGAACGATTTGATTAAAATTCATAATGCCTTCGTGACGGAAGTCCTCCATGCCCCAACAATGGAGGCTACTGGCATCGTTGGCTATGTTAGTTGATGCATCCCTGTAGACTCTCACCAACTACCTGGTTAGAGATGTCGGCCGGCAACGGAGATCACGTCGACAGTGCCTCCAAAGGCTGATAAATGAAGCGATAGCGTCATTGTTACACTCACCATCAGTACCTTTATATCAATTCTGAGTTGGGTTGGGGGACGGGGGAGGGTGTGCACTAAATACCCTTCTGTTGCTTGCGGCTGTTTCATACTTGGAAAGACCCTAGCCCCGCGTCGATCGTTTGAATTTCCTTCGGTCTTTCAGGTTACTCGTCGCCGAGAGAATTGTCATCAACATCCAGGATTTTTGTTCTAAAAATCACGTGGAGACTTGAATCGCGGTATCGAATGATTTCATTTCATTAACGGCTCCATTGCTTTGATTATGATTTCAGGGGAGGACGGCGTCGAAGGCACAGGTCCTGGAACGGAACTCCAGGCTGAGGAGGGTGACTGTGTTGATGAGGATGGACCAAGTAGTCCGAGTGAAAGGGGCTGCCCACCAGTTACCAAGGAGGATGAAGAGGCCGATGGAACGGATGACGATGATTCAGAGCAGAGTCCGTCAACACCACCACCATTAGCCTCAATGAGGTTAAATCCTACTGCCCTGAGAGATACAGGACCACCCGACAGGTACCGCTCATATTTCAGCGTCTTATTTTTTTTCACCTGCATCACCTGCTTACGCTCACTTCCACATAACCCACCTAAGCCGCGATATCAATGTTCAAATATGAGTTGTAAATAAAAGCAGAAACAGTTGTAAATCGAACCGCCGGTGTTGCTTTGAAGAAATAAATGTCTCTCGGGCCGTCTAACCCGTTCTCAAATTTTGTTTGATCGCTAACAAATCGTCGGTGAGTTTTCGTCGTGTAAACGGGGATAAACGAGCCCGATATCACATAGGCGGTTGTCGCGGCGTCATTCGGCTAATAGAGATAGGCGCGTGTTCATTCTACTCTCCCCGTAATCCCGCTCTGTCGGCAGGGTATACCTCTCGCTCTTTCTATTTCTCTCTCGCTTTCATCGGCCCCCCCTCCTCCCCCGGCTCCCACTACCTACACACCCTCACTTGAGTACCTAGTACACGTTCCGCTTCCCTACTACGTCCCGCCTCAGCCCCAAAAACTTCCCCTGCATGCGTACCGGTGGTCCCCTTTCATCTCGCTGCACGCATTCAGTATTCAGTCAGAGGAGTCAGTTACGAGCGAGTCGTTCACAGGTTTAGAACCTGCGTGTTGCTTCGTCAAAATATACTCACGTGTTACTATTTGTCCCGGCAACTGCGCTTCTCGTAGATCTAACAGGTACTGTAATTTGAATTGACTTGAATTGAATTTTTATTGACTTTAGTGATTATTAGTTCGTCCTGATGGAATTGTTGAGGAATGTGTACTATTGTATCTCTAGAAGATCGATCATGCCGATATAAATAACTCAACAAAAGTGATCGATCAAGTTATTGCATGTCTCATCATCCAATTCCGCTAGAATTCTCTAATTTGGTCATTCTGGAAATTATAATTAATCGAGAATAGAAATGAGATTAATTATCTGTTGTACCCGGCGGGATTACTTATGTATGATTATTGAGGGTTCTAGGCTTTAGGTTCCAACAGTTGTTGATAAATATTCAAATATGGGTTTTATTTACTTTATAAGACCTTTTAAATGATACGTTAATTGTTCATGTTTCGTTACTTTGTCCCGATAATTCTGTCACCCCAGCAAGTGTCCCATTGACAATCCTGTATGCTCCCATATTCACCAATTCCGTAATCGGCCAAGTTTGGGGTATAAAATATGCGACATTTACTCTGTTCGCAGGGAGCCAATGAGTCCGCGTTGTCCTTCACGGGATTCGCGGGAATCGTCCGGTCCAGCAGCCGGAAGTCCCCCACCTCAGGCAACTCGCAGCAGCACGAGTCCAATTAGTCCGAGCAGCATTGTGCCTGTACCCCTCGGTAGTCACCCCCTACTGCCCTCCCACTCTGCCGCGGTTATGGCAGCCTACATACAGCAAACCCACCAGAGATTCCTCCTGGGTCACTCGCCCCTCTCGGCCCGAGGATCGGTATCACCACTGGTATCGTCATCCTGCTCACCACCCGCCGCAACTCCGGGTATCCTCGTGTCCCCCGCGAGTACCGGAGAAGTTTCGCCAACCGCGACACCCCTCCCCGTGGTGTTGGACTTCAGCACGCGGAAGGCGTCGTCCGCCGATGAAGACGATGACGAGCAAATTCTGAACCTCAGCAAACCGCCAACACCCTCGTCCTCGAATGAAACTAACAACGGGCCCCTGGATCTCTCGGTGTCGAGTAGGAAGCGGCCGTCTCGGGAGGACGAGTCGCCCCCACCGCCACCGAGAAAATCCTCTCGACTCGGATCAATCGCCCCAGCTCATCAAGACTCGCCGGCTAATGCTTTTGGACGACCACCCGTCGTATCTCCGTGGAGTTCTCCGGTCGTCGCCTCACACCTTCCGTACTTTGCCGCAGCTGTTGCTGCGGCTACTAGTCAACAACAATTATCGCCCAAGAGCACACCCAGTGTAGATCCCCATCAATTATGGAACGGCAAAATGAAACCACCTGTGATGGACAAGTCCTACCAGCCCAGTGAAGCGACCAAAGCACTCGAGAAGATGAGTGAACTCAGTAAACTCGGTGGCGACGAGCTCTACAGGTCGTCGTCAGGTGGCTCCAGTGGTAATTCCGGTGGTAACAATCCAAGTGGAGCGTCAGGAAGTCGACACAGCGCATGGCAGTCTCACTGGCTCAACAAAGGTGCTGATCAAGCGAAGGACGTACTCAAATGCGTGTGGTGTAAACAAAGTTTCCCAACGCTGGCCGCGATGACGACGCACATGAAGGAGGCGAAACACTGCGGTGTCAATATGCCTGTCAACATGCCGTCCTCTGGACTGCAGCCACCCTCGATATCGTCGATGCCACAGCAGCAGCAGCCCTCCCATCAACCACCTCAATCCCAGGGAGGTAACGCGACGCCAAGTAGTAAACAAAGTCCGTCTGAGCTGAACCTCCTCATCAAGGAGACGATGCCGTTGCCCCGGAAACTAGTTCGCGGACAGGACGTGTGGTTGGGCAAGGGTGCTGAACAGACGCGGCAGATTCTCAAGTGCATGTGGTGTGGTCAGAGCTTCCGATCTCTCGCTGAAATGACCTCCCACATGCAGCAGACACAGCATTACACCAACATCATATCCCAGGAGCAAATCATCTCCTGGAAATCGTCGGACGATAGTAAGGGTGGCAGTGGTGGGGGATCTGCTGGGATTGGGTCCACGGGTGGGTCCACAGGTGGTCCGGGATTACCCCCAGGAGGCGGGGGCGGACAGCACGGGGGCAACACCGGTGGCCCGCCTGGTGGCGCCACCAGCAGTCACGTGAGTGCTGTATTAACCTGCAAAGTTTGTGATCAAGCCTTCAGCTCGTTGAAGGAACTCAGTAATCACATGGTGAAGAACTCCCACTACAAGGAGCACATCATGCGCTCGATTACCGAGAGCGGGGGTCGACGAAGACAGACCCGGGAGAAGAGGAAGAAGTCTCTGCCGGTGCGGAAACTCCTCGAGCTTGAGCGAGCGCAGAATGAATTCAAAAACGGTGATTCCGCGGCAGGACTTGCTCACAGCCTTGGTAAACACGCTGGGAGGATAACGTGCGAAAAGTGTGGGGATAAAATCGAGACCACGGTGTTTGTCGAGCATATACGTCAGTGCATAGGATCGGGAGCGGTGGGTGTCAATCAACGTAATTTCCTCAAGAATGCGCTGATGTCCAATCACATGACTCAAGTGCTCACTGAGAGCGGTAGAAAGAGCGTGAATGAGGAGACGTCATCGGTGTCATCGAGACATCACCGATCGCCGTCGTCGGCGAGTGACGCCACAACACCGGGTAAAGAGGCTCCCACCGCCAGTGCCAATGAAACGACAAACAGCACATCCTCACCATCTGTACTTAACGCGATTGAAAAGCTCATTGAGAAGAGCTTTGACTCACGCGTGAGACACGGAACCCCGGGCTTGCATCACGCCCAGCCGGGGGCGCCGATAGGCTCGAGTATCCTCAAGCGTCTGGGCATCGACGAGAGCGTGGATTACACAAAACCTCTCGTCGATCCGCAAACGATGAATCTACTGAGGAATTATCAGCAGCAGCACTACAACTCCGCGAACGCAACGAGACGGGAGAGAAGTGGGAGCGAATCGAGCTCGATATCAGAGAGGGGTAGCAATCGAACAGATACACTGACACCGGAGAGACGTATGGACTTGTCCATGAGTCACGACAGACTGTCGACATCGTCGCATCGTCAGCGATCGACACCGGACAAGCAGAGCACAACACCCAGTCGTCACTCGCTGCCGGAAGAATCCGGTGACGAGGAGTCTGTTATCGTGAAGAAGGAGCCACACGACGACGATGGCGAGCAGTCAATAACCAACGAGGACGATCCCCAAGCCCCTCGGGACGTGGTGGTGAAGAAGGAACTGGTGGACGACACCAGGGAGGACGAGGCGACGTCGCCCTCTTACAACTGCCATCCGCGGATTCATGAAGGAATCGACGAGACTAGGGAAGCGGCGTCGCCCCAGGTGAACCCTTCCACTCCGAGACCACCAAGCCAGCACGATCAACCCCCTGTCCCGCCGTCAAGAAGTCCCTGCAGAAACAGCACGAGTAGTCCAGCCAGTAGTGACCGTTCAGTGACCCCTCGGGGCACCCCGGACACCAAGGCATCCAGCAGCCTTGGCGCTCTCTCCTCGATGTTTGATAGCCTTTCAGGTGGCACTGGTGCCAACGCCAACTCCGACTCGCAGAGTCGCAAGACCAGTAGCCACCCCCTCGCAGCTCTGCAAAAGCTCTGTGACAAGACTGAAACCCGAGTGCCCAGTGGTTCTGGCAGCTCAAGATCGGCAGGCAGCAGTGGCCAAAGTATTTCCACCAGTGGGAGCGCAAGCTCTGGGGGCTCCGGCCAAAGTGGTGGCCCAACACCAGGTGCCATTCTGGCCTTCAGTTGGGCTTGCAACGACGCCGTTGTCACTGCTGACTCCATCATGAAGTGCGCATTCTGCGATACGCCTTTCATATCGAAAGGCGCCTACAGGCATCATCTCTCGAAGATGCATTTCGTCAAGGACGGCGTCATTCCGGATCCCCTGACGATCGGCAGATCAGCTGCGGCTGCGGCAGCCGCGGCCGCAGCAGCCGCTGCTGCGGTCGCTGCTCAGTCGTCGTCCGGAGCCAGTCACAGCGCTGCATCACCACCTAGCTCACAGCACAATAAGTCACCACCTGTACAACAGGTAAATGGCAGCCCATCTCAACCATCGGCCTCTCCTCTCGAGGAGAGCCCCCACTCAAAGTTTCTCAAGTATACGGAGCTAGCGAAACAATTGTCTAGCAAATACGTATAGTCTGAGTGCCGCGAGTAGCGGTGCAGTTTGTACATAAGTTGTATCTATAGTGTAAACCCGACTGCGTATGAGGATGGAAAGTAGTCGAATAGATAGATCTTCCCCCTCACACATCTTTCTCCTTTATTCCTACCTCCCCCGTCTCCCTTCTCCGTTTAATCATTGTCGCGTCGAGGTGTCGATGATCGAAAGATTGATTCGATTGATACGTCACGTTGAATGGTTTCATTGTTATTTACAACGGGAGTATCAGACAGCCAATTACACAGCGATATAGACGAACATTGTGACATTTGAGGCTCTCGATCATCTGTTATAGGGAATTGGTGTGAAGGAATCATTTCCGGTGGTAAAATTAGGAGAAATAACAGGACATTTGATAGATCTTTTTTTTTTGTTTTGAAACGTCGATTCTTTTGACGGTTTAATCAAAGTTGGTGGTATTTCTGGAAAAATTGTGATTCCTTGGCATGAATTTATGACATTTGATTCCCTCTTTCGATCGTCTGCGCTTCGCGACGCGACGCGTCTTGTCATTCCTTGGTCGAGTTCAAACACAATTAGCGTGTATTGGCTCAACTAGTATAATTGTAGAGTGGAGAGAATTTTAGTTTCCCCGGTTTGGTGAGAAATACTGTGGGGAGAGAACTGGCTAGAGTGGCTGTTTTGCGCTCATCTTTTCTTTGTATTCTCGGTTAGTGAGTTGTTTACGCTATATTTCGGTTTCTCTGTCCTCGTTGGGAGCTCGGAGGTGGTTGGGGGCGTCAGGATTCGGATGGATCGAACGATTCATTTGGTGAATTCTTCGCGGTTGATAGCGATATCATTTGGCAGATGCTTAGACCTGCTGACTTAGATGGTTTTTGTCGGAAAATAGATTTTGGAGTATCTGAATAGATTTGGAAATGTGATCAATTTGTTTCTGCCTTCAACAGACAATCACACTGTTGGAAAAAAATCATGAAATTTCCGATTTCACTGAAAATCCGTTGAAATTCCAAATTTTTGAGCTGCAGAAACACAAGAATTACTTCAACTCAATTGAATTTTTTTGTTTTTTTATTTTTCTACTTGAGTTCTAGCAATTTTCATGCAATGATTGAATTAAAATTTACAATTCGCATTGATTTTCCTATAAAATTTTTCATTTTCAATGACGAAATTCCATGAAATTTCAGTAAAACTAGTAGAATAAAAATTTACAAAAAGTGTATCAAAAATTTCAGCCAAAAATTTAGCCTCGATCCATTAAATCCATCTGATGAGCCCATTCACATCGTGAAAAAGCCCTTCATCGTTGCATTTGATAAAATGTCATTATGAAGATAGTTCAGTCTCATTAATATAACGAAATATACCTAATTGCATTTGAGCACGAATTCAAGTTCCTTGTCACTTCGAGTACCCCGTCTACCCGCTAAAACCCGCACGGAGAGAAAGGTTGGATAAAAATTACCTGGAAAATTGTAGCAAATTTTACTGCACGAAAGGTAATTGTGGAGTGAAATGTAATTCAGTGATAAAATACCTGTTTGTGGAGGATATTTTACGGTTCGTTCGGCAAAAGAAATCCTAAATCTCGTCCTTCTAAAAATCGAATTCGCTCCACGATTACTAGACTTACTCAGTAATTTTTCACCAACTTTTTCCTCCGCGCACCAATCACAGTCTAAACTAATGATTTTTATCGAGGATGGGGACATAAACTAGGGAAAATAACCATTTTTGCTAAACGCGGGTTACAAAATTAATAGTTGAGGGAAGGCAGGATGAGACAATGTCAAAAAAAATAATTGTGTGCGTGTGCGTATGTGCGTATTCGACGAGTTGGAAGTGCGTTAATTAATTGTGATGCCACCATATCTCGCGGCAACTGTGACGAGACCACATGCTCATGTGACTCCGGCACGCGGCCAACGTTTGTGATGTTTATAATAAAAGAATACTTAAGCAATTTAACTTCGACCAGAGGAAAAATATCGTGAAAACAATACGAATTGAGATAATTCTCTCACGCATCAAAGTTGAAAATGATAAATAGTGACTGTGAAAAAGAGATGATTATTTCGACTGGAAATAGATGATGCTTTCTAACTCACCTGTTGTGACGGTCGAACGTATGTATACCACCTTAGAGTAAGGTAGATTACTAGGCATAGACTAAAAATTAGCGCTCACCCTTTGTGTAGAATCTCTTTGTTGATGTGTGAGGTCATGTCAGAGCCGATGCGAATGTCAAATTTATTTGAGTAAAATTGTTTTTACCGAGAGGCTACTCACTCCATGATTTAGTGACACCGTGACTTCAAGTGATTTCATTAAAGTCATTGAAATTTAATAAATTGAACAGACGGGGCTAACGAGTCGTCTTCCTTCTAGTCCGCCTAACAAACAAAAGAGAATTGAACACCACTCTATGAAACATGAATAAACGAATCATAATTGTCGAAATCATTTAGGCCAGAGGAAAACAGAATAATTCTACTTTCTTAATATTGCGTTTACTAAGGTTTTCTTCGAACAAAGTTGATTAGAATTGATAGCTGAATGCAATATAGTGAAAATGATGATCGATTTTTTCACTTTGAACAAATAATATTAATATCCAAATACAAAATTTCTGATGTGAATAAAAAGAAACTGTGACTCAATATTCCAAATGAAGTTTTAATTTTTAATTTGGTGCTGAAAACACGAGATGACAATATTCTAAGCACGGAATTATATTGATGAGATGAACAACAGATCCATTGAATTATCGTGTGAACTAACTAAAAATTGATAACAGTGTTGGCGCGCACTTTTACCAGAGTATCAACAAACATTGAATTCCAGAAATTCACACTCTAAAAGTGTTCTGGAAGGAATTGAATTGCAATTATGATTAAAATCTTATTCAGTGAGCGTAGGAATTAGAACATGAGCAAATCATTTATTGTAATATGAAAATTTAACAGCTGATGAATTGGGACATATGATTCTCATCGGTCCTATTCCTTTTTGCAATGAGAATGATTATAAACAATTAATTGAAAAAGGGAAAGGGGATTACTTCGATTTGATTTCATTACAGACCGGTGCCATGATTTCAGGAGTGAGTAGCCCCTCATTTTTCAGCGTTAGAATACAAGGAAACGTTCAGCATTTGCGTCCGCTCCGACATAACACCACCAAAAATACCATACGCAAACGCAAAAAGTACCACAAAAAAATATTAAAAAAAGGGGAGAGACATGAGAATGACGAGAAAAGATGAGTGCGCCACACACGCGGTGCAATAAACCGATTTTCATAATCTTAGATATTGAGTACCGTTAATTCATTTCACGGTCTCACAATTTTTTTTCTCTCTTTATTGGGTTTTTAAGGTGATGAAAATGATATGCGTGAGATACTTTAGATAATGTCGTAATAGATGATTTGTAAATTTTATTTGTTTTTTAAAATATATTTATTGCGCCAGGTCGAGCCAATGCGTGTCATTACGTGTAAAATATTGTCATTATCATTCGAATTATGGCGGAAAAAAAATAAAACAAAATACTGTGTATATTGAATTGAAATTATTATACATATAAATCAATGAAAAGATGACGAAAAGTGATATTTGCGTGAGTAAAAGGGCGGCCGTGAGTGAATGATTTCAGATAATTAGGTTGGATGATTTATGTAGAGAGCAATGCTATTTGTAGTAAAAAAAAACAAAATATTAAATTTAAAAAAATTGATGGAGTGAATGGGGAGAGAGTGTGATCGAGTCAGCGGAGTGGCGAGAACATTGTAAAACTCCGATGATGCGATTAAACAAAAACCTAGATGAAATAAATAAAAATAAAGGAAATAATAAGAAAAAAAACACTTGTATACGTATTCCTTGTAACTCTAATTCTTCCATCGCGGACTTTTAAAGTATTTATCAACATAATAAAAATAATAATAATATTGTGTGTGATGATCGAAGATTAATCCCACGTGGTACTGAGCGATTATAAAATGAAAAAACGCGAGATTTGACGATTCATCCACATTGATAAAGTAAAAATGAAGGGGAAAAAAATTGAAGAAAAATGCAAAAAAAAATATTAAAAAAACCACAAGTGATTGAAATATCGTGCGCTCTCAGACAAAAAAAAATTACAAGAAAATAAAAATTATAACCTCGTAAACGAGAAAGCAAAAATCCACGAAGATATGCATCATGTATACGCGAAAAAAAAACTCTTGAAACCATTTTACGAGATTTGTCATTATTTAATTATTTCGGTTGTATTTTAAAATGCAATTAAAGCTCAAATAAATATATATGTTATAAACTATATTCAAGCGTCATTTGTCTACTTCATTACAAGAAAAAAGCCACCAAAATCCCTGAATTGTCCGCCCACGAGTTGCTGCATTGACCCTTACATCTTCCTATCTTGAGCATATAAAAGGAATGCCACAACACGGGGAAATAAAAAACTTAACCTGACAGAATATTCTCGTGACACCATTGACTCTGTTATAACCAGAATAAAAAGAAAGAGTCGGGGGAATTTACAACGCCCGAAATTCGGCCCACGTTTCCACATGGCTTTTGGAAAATATATATTCCGTCTATATGTACCGGGATTATCAGTGTCACACCCACCAGTACATTTCTTTCACGATTGTTGTGTGACATGTTTATTGACATTCCGCATCATCAACAAGAAGATATCTAAGGATAGCAGATTTAAGGAATATAATAATTGGTTCTTATTTCTCGTGGGGTATTTGTTGAGGAGTCGGCTATCGTAATTAATGATAATGGTTGTATTTGTGGGGATATTGGAGAGGTGATAAGAGAGTGGATTAAATTGGAGGATCTGACCTGACGCTGATGAGTTTAGCTTCGAGGAATTGAGTAAATGGAGCAACATAAGCTGAAGTTTGGGGAATTCAGGAATTTATGAAATTTATTAGCCTGGGTTTAATAATTTAATGCGAGAAAGGAGCAAATAATTTGAGAATTTTTTTAT